CGCCATCCTCCCCAGCGATCGGCAAAAAATTTTATTTTTTTTTTTCGATCCAGAGTTTTTGTGTTGCCTTGATCTGATAAAGTACATGATATATTTCAAGTTTGGGATCATTTTGACATTTATTGTGATAACAAACTTTCAAGATTTTTCCTGTTTCTTTGATTTTTATGACAACTCACGCCGAGCTGCTTGTTTTACATGAAATAATGGAATCGATTTTTATAAAATGATATTCATGATGTTTGGAGCATGTTGAGGCCGTGTCTACGTGGCCTCGGCACCAAAATTCGGCCGTGTTTTCACGCGAGGCCCCAAGACACGGCCTGAAAATCATGCTTTAAATTTCATGAATATCATTTTCAAAATGTGGCCGATTCCATTATTTCATGTACCGCAGCTCAAACTGGAGAAATTTGTCAAATTTGAAAAAAATCAAAGAAATGTAAAAAATCAATGGAATATAGCAAAATAAATCAAAATGACCCCAAACTTGGAATATATCATGTACTTACATCAGAAAGGGCAACACAAAAAAAAAAATCTGGATAAAAAAATCGAAAAAACAAATTAATTTTTTGCCGATCGCCATCAAGATTGGCAGAAGAGAGCCTTTGCCGCCATCGCTGTGGAGGATGGCAAGGATTGACAAAAGAATTTCGAGAAAAATCAAAATAACCTTTGCCGCCGGGGAGGAGCAGAGAGTCGGCAAAGTATTTTTAAAAAAAAATTAAAAATTTTTTTTTTGAAAAAATAAATAGACCTTTTGCTTGATCACGTCACATGTCAAGGCAACAAAAAGAAAAAAAATAAAAAAAAAAACGTCGCCTTATCCGCTCGGCCCGCCCTCCCCTCCCCAAAATCCCGCCCACCCCCAAAATCCCTCCTCCTCCTCCCCGTGGCCCCCCCCCGTGTGCCCTCCACAAGGCGCCCTCCCACATGGCCAGCTCTCCCACGGCGCCCCAAGCCACCAGGTCCTCCCCCTCCGTCACAGCGCCTCCCCCCCGTGCACACATGCCCCTCCCGTGCCATTCCCCCCCCGCACATGCCCCCTCCACATGGCCCGCCCTCCCATGGCGGGCCCCACGGCGCCCATGTTGGTCATCCCATCGCGTCGCCCTCCCCACCCCCCTCCCCATGGCCCACACATCCTCCCCCGGCCATGCCACCCTCTCCAGCGGCGGCGCCCCCTCCCACATGGCCCTCCCAGGGCGCCCCCTGTTGGTCCCTCCCGTGCCAGCCATCCCAGTGGCGCCCCCTCCCAGCGCCCCCCATGTGGGCCACCCATGGCATGGCCCCTCCGGCGCCCATCCGCCCTCCAGAGCCCTCACCGGCGCTGCCCGCTTGATCCGGCCCGGCCAGCCAGTGCAGCCCAGTCTGACTCCGGCGTCGGCCCGCGGCTCGCCCCTCGCCCTTCGCCGGCGCCGTCAGCCCACCCACCCGATCCGGCGTGCCCGCTCCGTCCGCCCGTCCATCCAAGGCTTCGCCCTGCCCTCGCCCTGTCCGCCTCGCCCGCCCTCGCCTCGCCTCGCCGTCCTCGCTCCTGCCTCCTCTCTCCTGCCACGCCGGTGGCGCCGTCCGTGACGACGAGGTAGTAGTACTACTAGTAGTAGTAGTTTACTTTGTTAATACCGCTTATATTCTTCTCGCATGGATTGGAAATACATTTGTGGTTGTCGGCCATCGTGCACGACATGTATATGTGTTTGTCGGCCATCGTGCTGTCTTTTCTTGCAGTTTGGTAACCTTCCCGCATGAGGAGGTCTTTGCCAAAATTTTTCGTTCTCACTAATTGTTTTTTTTTTTTCAGAGGGCTCCCATTGGAGGCTAGCCGGAGGAGCACAACACTCGAGATGCGTAACATGGCCAGCTTCTTCCAAATCCATGCAGACGCCTTGGGGCGTCTACACCGCCTCCTCTTCCAATGTTCGCTCCACCGCCTCCTCCTCCGAGTTTTTTCACATGCACCTCACCTCTGCCGCTTCCTGGAGGGACCCCGTGAGTATATTGACTCTTGCTTTAACTTGCGCGTCCATGTCTGCAGATACTAATGACATCACTTGGCGTTTAACTTGTGCAGTACGGTCGGCGAGTTCGAACCCGTCTCCTCGGAGGTCCCGCCATCGATGATGTCGTATCCACCACCTACACCCTATCCACCGTATCCACCTCATGGGGCCCTCCTCCGACGTGATCGTGGCACGGCAAGCGCTTGGGAGTGGCAAGACGCTGCAGCGCCTCGGTTTGGTCCAAGGGGTTTCCGTGGGCAAACCACAGGGGCTCTCTGGGCGGAGCGGGCGACGACGAGACCGGGGACGGCGCGACGAGCTAGGTACTTGTCGATTCTGTTATCATGTATCCACCGTATCGTCGAAGTTGTTGTCATGTATTTCTTTTCTTCGTTATGGACCTAGACTTGTTATGTTGAACTTCGTGTGATGGACGTCGACTTGTGGTGTTCGACGTGTTGGACTTCATGTGATGGTTGTAATGCACTTGTGTGGTTGTTATTGTGACATATATGTGATGTTGTGCGTTATTGTGATATATGTGGTGATGTTGGCGACAAATGTGATGAAATTGTGATATAAATGGTGCTACCGGTGCTTCTGGTGAAATTGGATTATAATTTGTGATTTTGCAGGGTTTTGATGCGAGAAAATAGAAAACAAAAGCAAAAAAAAAAAATCCGCTTTTTGCCGATTGCTTACAAAAAGCAAAGTCGGGCAAAAACAGAAGAATCTTTGCCGATCGCAACTCAAAGCGATCGGCAAAAAGAACATTTCAAAAAAAATTCTTTCTTTGCCGACCGCCGAAGTTGGGCGGCCACCGGCAAACAATTTTTGAAAAATAATTCTTTGCCGATCGCCGAGGAACCGCCAGATCGGCAAAGCTTCGTCAGTCGACACGCCATGCGTGGCTATGCCGATCAAAGGCGTGGCGCTTGGCAAAGGATTTGTTGATCAGTGTGCCGCGTGGCGATCGGCAAATCCGCTTTTGCCGACCCGAACTTTGCCGATTGCTCTTCTTAGAAGCCGCCACGTGAGCTTTGCGGTCGGCAAAGCCTTTGCCGACTGGGTTTATGCCTTTGCCGACCGGGGCAAGCAGTCGGCAAAGAGGCGTTTTCCTGTAGTGATTGATCAATATGTTTGTCTTGTATGTGGTTGCTACCGTTGCAAGTAGTAATAGTTCACACATGCATATACATGTCATCACATATTTTGCTATGGTATTTCTGGATTAAATTTAACATTAAAATGCCTAAATCTCTAACACAGAATAGATCAAATGACTATTATTGATGATGATTATAAAAATTTACAAAATTAAAAGTAAGATCCTTCTGATTAATCAGAGAATTTTAATTTATTTTTCTTGTGCGTATAGCGAGGGTTAATGTAATGAATTATTTGGGGCCACCCAGCCAGGTTGACGAGGCCTTTTCTAGTGTAAATGGAAGGAACGTAACTAGGGGTCCGGAGCGGAGCGTCAAGCACGTCTGGTTGATCCACTGTTTTTCGTCAACATATATTATTGCATTTGTCATATATGGGTCCTGATGTAGGTGACATCGTGCCGGCCACGTTTGTTGCTTGACCTTGACCCCCAAGTCATCCTGGTACTCCATTATTGGTGACTCAGGAAGTCTGGGCATCATCACTGTTTCTTCTTCTTTATAATAGCGACGACAGATGACAGCTAAAATCCTGGTACGCCACTTTTGACTTATATTTGCTGAAGGAGGAGGCGATCGAGCATCAGCATCTATTCAGCGAGCAGTATAAATAGAGCAATGATGCTTGCCAATGGGCCGGACAGTGCGTTGTTTCCAACGCCCGGTGTTGGCTGCCTACCTGGGTGAATAGTGCAACATTCTTCAGGTCTCCTCCTCCCCGCATTGGCCGACGTCTAAGTGCATGTAAGCATCATCACACTTGTTAAAGCTCTCTTGAATCTTGATTGTCTCTCATTCGTGTGGCCATCAGATTATGTTGAAAAAAAGGAAACAAATCCACGCTGCATGCCGATCATCGGCAGCTTGTTACTCCCTACCTTAGGAATTTTAGGACATATCATATGAGGTACTACAAATGATGCATGTAACCCTCTTAACTATAGAAAAACTTTGCACTTACCATATTTGAAGCTTGGTGTAGGCACACATATGATTGGGACTTTGGGGTAGTTAATTCATCTAGAATACTTTGTAATTTGGGCCAAATTTTGAATGCTTCAATACTTATATTTTACGATAGAGGGAGTAGAAAACATATATGTTTTTTTCCTGCCTCTGCGACTGGAGAACATATATGTTACTGTGTTAATTAATAAGGGTTAATGGCAAAGCTGACAACATGGGTAGAAGAAGGAAAATTCAACAGGAAAAAACAATACACGCAATCAATAACACATGAAAATGAATATGGTTTTCGATTTCTCTAGTTCGTATCTCAAGCGGCAGAAGCCCACAACATAACAAAATGAGTAAAATACAGTGGTGGTTTCTAAATCCGAAAGACGTGGCATCTAGATATCAAACTTCAATTTTTTTTTATTTATGGTTCTCTTAACTTGTCATGAGATTCCGTACTAGTGCAAATAGGTTTTGACCCACTCTATACGCCGACTTGGAATACTAACTCAGTGCTGACGTGAATCTAACATGTTGGTGTTGGGTTCAGTAACTAAACTTGCGCAGTGGTGCCATCTAAGTTTCGAGCTTCAAATTTGCATATCCAGTGCCCCAAACTTGCTAAATGGAGTTTGGTTCATTGTTACCTGATATTTCTTTTTTTTTCTGTGTATGCACATAACCATGGTCTATTAAACCAGGGTAGCAAAAGTGGCCATGAAGCCTACTACAGTCGGACAGTGTTTCTTGGTGATAATAATAGCGAGCTGCACACATGTTGTCATCTGCTCTTCCAATGGAAACTACAAAGATAGGCTCTCACTACTGGAGTTCAAAAAAGACAATAAGTCTTGATCCACAGCAAGCTTTGATGTCTTGGAATGGCAGCACCCATCTCTGCAGTTGGGAAGGTGTCCTGTGTTCAGTCAAGAACCCAAGTCGTGTCACTTCTCTTAACCTCACTAATCGAGGTCTAGTAGGGCAAATATCCCCTTCACTTGGGAACCTAACATTCCTCAAAGTCCTTGTCCTATCGGCTAATTCATTCAGTGGAGAGATCCCTATCTCCCTTGGTCACTTGAATCGCCTCCAGATCCTCAGCATGGAAAATAACATGCTGCAAGGAAGGATACCTGCTCTTGCAAACTGCTCAAAACTAACAGAGCTATGGTTGGCAAACAACCAACTAACCGGACAGATTCCTGCAGATTTTCCTCAGAGCCTTGAGAGTCTTGATCTCACCACAAATAATCTTACTGGAACCATCCCTGATTCTGTTGCCAATCTCACAAGGCTACAATTATTTAGCTGTGCCATGAATGAAATCGAGGGGAACATTCCAAATGAGTTTGCAAACTTGCTGGGGCTGCGGATCCTCCGCGTCAGTATCAATCAGTTGTCTGGTCAGTTTCCACAGGCAGTCCTGAATCTTTCAAATCTTGCTGTACTTTCACTTGCTGTAAACAATTTCTCTGGTGTTGTACCATCTGGTATCGGTAACTCTCTGCCTGATCTTGAGGCAATATTATTGGATGTCAACTTCTTTCATGGGCATATGCCATCTTCTTTGACAAACGCTTCCAAACTGATCGTTATTGATATATCACGCAATAACTTCACAGGCGTGGTGCCTAGCTCCTTTGGAAAACTTTCTAAACTATTAAGTCTAAATCTTGAACGCAATAATCTCCAAGCGCAAAACAAACAAGACTGGAGGTTTATGGACAGCTTAGCCAATTGCACTGGTCTAAATGCATTCTCGGTAGGATATAACTATCTTACGGGTAAAGTGCCGAATTCTGTAGGTAATCTTTCCAGTCAGCTCCAGGGTCTATACTTGGGAGGAAACCAACTCACAGGGGATTTTCCTTCTGGTATAGCAAACCTTCGTAACCTAGTCACTGTCAGTTTGTTTGACAATAAATTCACCAGTGTGCTTCCAGAGTGGCTTGGGACTATTCACAGTCTGCAAGTAGTACAGTTAACCAACAATTTCTTTACAGGGCCCATTCCATCATCCTTCTCAAACCTGTCTCAATTGGTGTCGCTCGCTCTAGAATCGAACCAGTTAAATGGAGAGATACCGCCAAGCCTAGGGAACCTCCAAGTGCTTCAGGCACTACTCATTTCTTTCAACAATCTTCATGGCACTATACCGAAAGAAATCTTTGCAATTCCAACAATAGTGAGAATTAGCTTATCCTTTAACAGCCTACATGGACCACTTCATGCCGACATTGGGAATGCCAAACAACTCACATATTTGGAAATCTCATCAAACAATCTGTCTGGAGAGATACCTAGTACTTTGGGTAATTGTGAAAGTTTGCAAATTATCGAGCTGGGAAATAATTTTTTCAGTGGAAGCATCCCGCCTTTGCTTGGTAATATAAGTAACCTAAATAATCTCAACTTATCTCATAATAACCTGACTGGGTCAATACCAGTAGCTCTTAGTGGCCTACAGTTCCTTGAGCAACTTGATTTGTCATTCAACCATCTAAAGGGTGAGGTGCCAACAAAAGGAATCTTCAAGAATGTGACAGCTTTATGGATTGATGGAAATCAGGGGCTTTGTGGTGGACCACTGGGCTTACACCTACTTGCATGTCCTACCATGCAACCAAATTCAGCTAAGCACAAGCTTTCAGTTATCCGAAAATCCTGGCAGCCATAGTGCTGGTATTTGCAGCAGTCTTTGCTATTTTGTTGCTTCGTAGGCGAAAACAGAAGGCAAATGCTATCTCTTTACCCTCTGTTGGTGAATTCCCCAGAATTCTTACAGTGATCTTGTTAGAGCGACAGAAGGCTTTGCAACATCCAATCTAATTGGTCAGGGAAGATATGGTTCCGTCTATCAAGGAAAATTGTCTCCAGACGGAAAATCCGTTGCTGTCAAAGTCTTCAGTCTAGAGACAAGAGGAGCACAAAAGAGCTTCATTGCAGAGTGCAGCGCTTTGAGAAATGTGCGGCATCGCAATCTAGTTCGTATCCTAACTGCATGCTCAAGCATTCATCCTAATGGAAATGATTTCAAAGCTTTGGTGTATGAGTTCATGCCACGAGGAGACCTGCATAACTTGTTGTACTCGGCTCGAGACAGTGAAGGCTCTCCATATTTTATCCCACTAGCTCAGAGATTAAGCATCATGCTGGATGTATCAGAAGCTCTGGCGTATCTACACCATAACCACCAAGGAACCATTGTACATTGTGATCTGAAACCTAGTAACATTCTTCTGGATGATAATATGGTAGCTCATGTTGGAGACTTTGGGTTAGCAAGGTTCAAAATTGACTCAACAGCATCATCTTTTGTTGACTCAAGTTGTAGTTCTTCAGTTGCAATCAAGGGAACCATTGGATACATTGCTCCAGGTACCATCCCTTACACATTGTGTTGTCTAACTAAATAATGATGAATTGTACAACTTCTGTATTTTACTTGAACTAAACTACATCCTATATGTTATATACAGAATGTGCTGTGGACGGTCAAGCTTCGACTGCGGCAGATGTCTACAGCTTCGGAGTTATTCTTCTCGAGATGTTCATCCGTAGGAGCCCAACAGATGAAATGTTCAAAGATGGGATGGACATTGCAAAGTTAGCAGAGATCAACTTGTCTGATAATGTGTTGCAGATTGTTGATCCACAGTTGCTGCAAGAGATGAATCACAGTGAGGACATTCCAATGGCGATCAGGGACAGTGGACCACAAATTCTGCAGTCTGTGCTGAGCATTGGACTCTGTTGCACCAAGGCATCCCCCAACGAGCGCATCAGCATGGAGGAGGTGGCTGCCAAACTACATGGGATCCAGGATGCATATATCAGAGGAAATTGGAGGAGCAGTCCATCAGCTAGCTAATGTTTCGAATGAAGAGCTTGATGAATTCCAATTTATATACGTTTCATCTTGTTCTATGTGTTTGTTGTTTACTAGAATATCTTAAGATCATCATATCTTTGTATTAAGAAGAATGCATTTCTTTATTAATAAGAAAAGAGGAAGCAAACGTCTGCCGAGGCAGGTAATTGAATCAACAGCCACACCATTCGGTGGTGTGTTTCTTGTTTGTTTGCTGCCCTTTTCGAAATAAAAAATAGTGGGTTGAAGGCACATATCTGTGGTGTTCTGTTCCCTATTACGGATGAAAAATGTGAAGGCATCAAGCACGCTACTTGAGCATCCACTGTCTCAGCTGGTGGGAATGGTTATCCATGATGTTTTAGCCATGGGTCGTACGATCAGTGCAAAAAAAAACAAGGGACATAAGTGGAAACTGTTTCTGTACTACCATTTGCTTATTTATTTATTTAGCCCCTATTGCTATAAAACATGAAAAGAAATAAAAAAATATTGTATTTTATATATGGATACGATCGAAAATGGTAAACAATATTAATGAAACGATGCACTAGTGATTGGAAAATTCCATTAGTTACATACATCTTTGGTAAAGGATGTATAGTGGTTTCATAACCATGGCTAGTGATTTAGGTGATCGATGTGTGAAACTTTGGAGGTTAATACTCAAGACACGAGAAGGTTTATCCTGGTTCGGGCTCCAGGCTCTAAGTCCAGCAAAGGGAGATTTCGTGTTAGAGTGTTCGAGAGAGTTTACACTTGGGGTAGAAGAGAGATGAGCCAGTTCTCTAATGGGATAGCGATCTATTGAGCGATGCCTCCAATGGCCCATGCATCTATGGTGCCCCTTGTCCAACCTTATATCTCCGGCGGGCAAGGGGATTACAAAAGTCATATGATGGCTTTCTTGGCTGGCAAGGAAGGCGGTTTCCATTGGCCGGCAAGGAAGGTCCTCTGCCTCACTGCCCTGGTGTTCGAGCAGTTCGGGGTGTCATCCGACTCTGCCCCGACGGTCGTGGCTGATTAGCTCCTTTCATGATGCCAGAGCCTTTGCAGGTGGCCTCGGCAGGCTCTTCAGTCCACCCGTCCCCGGTCTGCTTGTCCTTGGCGCTCATTGCACGCTAGGGGTGTGAGGTCCTGAAAACGCTGACGCGTGGTGCTCGCATATTCAGCTTCCCTGGGGGCGAAGAGGCCAGTGCGTGAGCCCCTTGTTGTGTTTCGTCACGCTTTGGTATGACCCTTGCCAAAGCAGGAAAGTGGCGTCCTGCTAAAGCAGGGAACAACGCCCTACCAAACTGACATTAGTGCACTCCTACTCTGGTGTCATGCGGCTGCCCCACATCCCTAGGTGTGTACTCCAGATCTCTCCTATGAAATCCGTGTCGGCTTCTCCACGGACCGCGCTATGAGGAACCTTCGTCCGACTGAACCCTTTCATGAGATGGCCTAAGCAGCAGGCTCCGGGTCCCTGTCCGCTCAGCCACATTTTGTTTGGTCAGAGCCCCCGACCGATGGGAAATGGAGTGGGCCTAAGTGAGGAGCTCTGGCCCCCATCCACCGAACCACATTCGGTCAGTTGGATCCCCTAACTGATGGAGAGTCGAGTGGGCTCGAGCAAGGAGCTCTAGCCACCCGTCCACCGAACCGCCGCTTCCGTAGAAACGCTCCCCTGCTATCTTACTTCTGGAGCTCAATAGTTTGGATGTAATGTAACCTCTATCTTTCCCTTGGTTCATGTATCGTGCTCATGTAATTGGCGGCACGACTTGTCTGGAATCAGTGGTAATATAATCGGGTGGGAACTCATCGTCCCCCCCCCCTTTCGTTGCTAAAAAAAGCCCAAGATCAATGAGGAGTTGAGTGGGCCATCCGTTTCTCAGGGTAGTCTGAGCCCTCAGGGCTTCGATCGATGTCCAGCAGGAGTGCACGAGCACACCAGCTGGGTATAACCCTAAGCTACTAATTGATTAGTAGAATCAACTAGGGGGCTACTTGTTTATAGCCAAAATTATCCAAAGTGTGTAATGGACTCCGCCATCATGTTTCTATGAGACGGTCAGAAAGCATACTTGGATCACCTCATTTGGAGCCCAGACGTAGAAGGCAACTTTTCCAGGGGGGACTGGCCTAGTCAGTTCCCAAAACCAGCCAAGCTGGATTTTTTGACTTCCTCAAATGGAAGAACGGATTGGACCATTGCATTCCTCTCATCAAGCTAATTGAAAAATATATAAGGATCGCCTTGTTTAAAGTATGGATGAATTATGATTTTCGAAAGGTATTCAGCCCTAGACCGGCAAAAATCGGCCAAGTCGGTTAGGACAAGCCTAGATCTAATCTACTTCGTGTTTTGATGCATTTTGGAAGGGTTTTCGACCCCTTGTGGGATAAGACCAGCCCCTATAAGGGCCACAACCAATTGAGGTGCCCAATACACACAATGGACACAAAACCAATTTACCACCTCTCTTTTACTCTCTTTCACCATCTACTTCTTCTCGTTCTTCATAGCCGTTGCATGTCTGGTGGATCGACGACAGTGAAACTCTAGAGCGGTCAGGCTAGCTACGGCAGCCCATAGCCGCCGCACACCACGCCGGGATCTGTCCTGGACGTGTGGGGTTTCGGGTTTTAAGAGACCTCGCCAGCATGTCTGGCGTATTGCGCTCCTGACGAGGCTCCTCCAGTGATGTGTCTTGCGTATCACGCTCATCACTGGAGGCACCAGGTTCGAGTGCGAACAAACCCTAGGCACCGGCCGACCTAAAAGTCAGCTAAGCCCTACATCGAGCAATCTAGCTCTGTCGACAGAATATCGTCGGCAGTCCTCCGAGGGGTATCCTACGAAGGTAGATTGATCGGCAGAGAAGCATGTGATCAAGAACAAGAAGGCAACAGAGACACACGAGTTAGACATGTTCAGGCCATCAGTATGACGTAATACCCTACTCCTGTGGTCTGTTGGTTTGTATTAGCTATCGTATGATATTGCGTGAGTTTGGAGGGGTCCCTGCCTGCCTTATATAGTATGGGGGGTAGGGTTACAAGTCGGTTAGATCTGAGAGATAATTGAAAAGTAATAACATATTACAAGAATCTTGGGATCATACGTATTCTAACAGATCTCGTAGTATCCTCAGGATATCTTCCCGGTGTCTTGCGGGAGGCACCGAGAAGAGTCGTGCCCCGCAAGGCTTCGTCTTGAGGCCTGCGCCGCCCCTAGGGGCGCAGCCCATGTGGTCTACCATGGGTATCCGGGGTCATACCCCCTACAGCTAGTCCCCGAGCGCCTTGTACCCGTTGTGCAACGCCGTCTTGAGCTTGTCCGAGCAGGTGCGAACAAAGTCGAGCAGTCAAACTCAAGTTGTGAGCAGTTGCCGAGCAGCGTGAACCATCGTCGAGCAGCATGAGCCGTAGCCGAGCAGCGTGAACCGTCGCTGAGCAGCGTGAACCATAGCCGAGCAGTATAACCCAAGTACGGCTTGCCATAAGGGTGTAAGGAGCTCAAATTCAGAATCGAAAATTTCTTCGCAGTGGACCAAGTGTGCCCACTTAGAGTCCTACCACAAGAAAAGGAGATAGTCTTCTTCAGCTTCAAGAGTCGCGGAGTCTTCCAGAATAAAGCAAACACATTCACCGCTAGGAGAAGTGTGCCCACTTAGTCCCCAAGCCTAACAGTAGATGACGTAGTCATGTGGTGCTAGGGTTCAAAGTAGAAGAAAAGTAGAAGACCAGCACGGTGAAGTGTGCCCACTTAGTCCCCAAGCCTGACAGTAGGTGACATAGTCACGTGGTGCCAGGGTCAGAAACAACAGTCAACTTGGAGAAAATAGAATCACGGAGAAAACACCAGAGTAATGGCTGTACAGTAGTAATTACTGAGCCGTAATGGTTGGCGGAGATGTCGGTGAATATTCGGGTAGCCGTAACAAATTGTAGAGATAAATCAGCGATACAGGCCGGGGTTGCACGAAGGCCCAGGTAACGGCCCACCTTCAGTAGAGGAGAATTCAGAGAAGCGCAAACCACAGGAACGGTTTCCCAAAAACCCTCGAATGCGAAAAGGTGGGGGAAGTGCTTTATAACTACGCCGCCGCACCCCGCGCTCATACCTTTGCCCCTTTGCCATTTCATCTTCCTCCTCAGCCATCGCATTTCTAGATTCACATCTACACTTGTTTTTGCCGCCAAACCCTAACCAGATCTGAGAGATGGCGCAGAAGAAGGGAGCTACGAAACCGAAGAAGATGAGCCCCAAGAAGGCGAGCGCCGAAGCCCGGCATGACGAAGAGTGGGTGCCATCACGAACGGGAGAGGTGGAGCTCAATAGATTAGTGGAGGCAGGCATTCTTCCTAACCGTGCTACCGTCGGATGGCGGCCGACCCTCGGTGAGCCCTTCCCAATGCCTCATACTGATGAAGTGGTGGTATTTGAGGATTATTTCTGGCACGGGTTGGGATTTCCTGTTCATCCATTCCTAAGGGATCTATTGGAGCTCTAGGTGGTTAGTTTGTGCAACCTCCACCCAAATACCATATTGCACATATCTATCTTCATCTATTTCTATGAGGCGTATCTCGGAATCCTTCCACACTTCAATCTCTTCCGTCACCTGTTCTGGCTGAAGAAGAGAGGCGACGGTGGTTCCAAGGTGGTTGGCGGAGTGTATCTTCAGCTGCACGATGAAATGGTGGGGGAATACCTTACTGTTCCGCTAAGCACATCGCTGAAGGGGTGGAACACCATGTGGTTCTACATGAAGCAAAGTCACCCTGCAGTCCGCTACAACGCCGACCACATACTGGAGAGACAGAAGAGCTGGTCGGAGACACCAAGCAGCACTGATATGGAGCAAGTGAAGGAGCTCTTCGCTTAATAAAGGGCGTGAAGACCAACTGTGGATTAGTGGTGGCAAGCTTTATAGTGCGCCGTATCCAGCCCTGCAAGGAGAGGGCCCACCCCGCCTTTGAGTTCAAGGGAGAGACCGACGGTACCCGGG